TAGATAGATGATAGATAGATAGATAGATAGATAGATAATGATGATGATAGATGATAGATAGATTAGATAGATGATAGATATAGATAGATGATAGATGATAGATGATGATAGATAGATAGATAGATGATAGATATAGATAGATGATAGATGATAGATGATGATAGATAGATAGATGATAGATGATTGATAGATAGATAGATGATAGATAGGTAGATAATAGACAGATGATAGATATTCAATACCTTTGCTTGGGGCTTTGGTTACAAAAGTAATAATACATGATTATTTAAAAAAATCATAAGTATATAAACCATTTCCTCTACCCTGAGGTAGTGACGGTCAGCACCTGGATGTGCAGCCTTCAGTCCAGCTGCAGTGCAGAGGGTCACCCCACCCCACTCCCTCCCCCATGTGGCATCACCTCCCTCCCCACCCCCTCCCACCCAGCCCTCTCCCACCCCATCCCCTCCCCACCCCCTCTCACCCCACCCTCCCCCAGCCCACCCCACTCCCTCCCCCATGTGGCATCACCTCCCTCCCCACCCCCTCCCACCCAGCCCTCTCCCACCCCATCCCCTCCCCACCCCCTCTCACCCCACCCTCCCCCAGCCCACCCCACTCCCTCCCCCATGTGACCTCTCTGCTCCAATCAGGAGATATTCACGTCCTCACTCCTCTCCCCATCTCAGAAAAAAAGTCTCTATCCCGAGACGTCCAAAAAACAAAATACCACAGCTTCCCACATTCCCTCTGGTTTTTCTGCCTCCCCACCCTCCTCCCAAATCCAAACAAAGAGAAACACAACACTAGGCTGGCGTGGGGCGATTGGAAGCACTGGCAGCCCCGGCACCAGATGGATCCGGGAAATCCTCCTTGGCCACCTACCAGCAGCCTTGGTCCCTCTGAGCTTGTTTCTTCATAAGTGAAAAGAGGGTGGTTTGCCTACAAGACTGCCTCTCTCCCTGGATCTCCCCTGGCCAGTCTTTGACTGCTTCCCTGTTATTTTTGTTTTGCTAGAGTTAAAGAACACCAAGGTTTTGTGGGGGTTTTTTGTTTTTGTTTTCATTTTTTACATTAAATTATTCTTAGAGACTCCAACTTCATCTCCTCTCCCTTCCCTTCACTGGATTTAATCTCTTACCTCACTTCGCTATCTTGCTCTTCAATGTCAGGACCTATTTAATGAGGTCCAAAGAAATCTGGCTGAGGGTGGAAGAAAAGGGGGAACTAGCAGCCACAGAATCCACTTCCTGTCTTTGGAGGCCCAACAGGCTAAAGTTCAGGCAGCATTTACATCGCCTGAGTGTCCAGCTGTCAGCCAAATAACTTACCTGCTCTAATATTTACTGTGCTTTTCTAGGGCTTAAAACAACAGGAAGGAAAGTGGGTCACACCCACCCCAGTGGCCTTCCCACACACTCTCCTTCAGGGTCATGCATGGGCTTCTCAGGGTCAGCAGACCCAGGTGAAGTCTGACCATCCCAGGGACTGCCCAGGGCACAAAGCTCAAGGCCCTTCCAGTGTTCCTTCATGGGAATCTGGAAGTCACCAGCTCTGGTTGGACTCAGGCTAGGAAAGGGCAGATCTGACATGGAAGGATGCCCTCAGTTCCTGAGAAGCAACATTGGGGATGCTCAGGTGACAATTATGCTGATGGAGGTACAGTACAGGTCTCCACCATGGAAACCCAAACCCTGTCCGTGCCAGAAGCAGCAAAGACTCCATGGGCCACAGGTGCTTCTCTCCTCAGCCTGGGCCCTCTGTCTGGATTGTCTCCACCTGCAGCCTGGATAGGGATGACTTACCTCTCATTGGAGGCCCTGGAGCAAGAACCCTGGGACAAAGCAGCAGGTAGAAGCCAGGGGTGTTACGAAGGAGCCGCAGAGACCACCAGGTCACAGGGCAGGGCATGAAGAAACTTGCAATCAAAGACAGAACAGTACTTAATGGTTCTTGTCTAGAACAAGCCAAGTAACAGCTTCTTTGGAGTTACTGAATCAAAACTTCTGAGAAGAGGACAGATGGGGTTCCTTTCTCTTTCAGATCTTGGATATTGGGCTAACTCAGACCAAAAAGCAGGGGAGCCTACTCTCTAGAGGAGTGGGGAGATGGAGACCTCAGCAGGAGAAGCAAGATCAGAGGGGCAAGATGAAGGCAGGATGAATGGAGGCAGCCAGGAGACAAGGAAGCTGGCCAAGGGGAAGCAGCAGCCTGCAGGGGCTGCCCACTGTGGGGCAGCTGCACCCACAGGTTTTATCATGATGTGTGCCCAGCTGACAGTGCAATGATGAGGATGCAGATGCAGGAGAAAGCCAAGAGGGGTTGGGTGACGTTGGAGATAAGGGGATAAGAAAGGACCCCTGCCCTGGGCAGTCACAGAGCATCTTTCTTTGTGGGCACATGATCCCTCACCCAAGAGAACCAGGAGCACAGGCACCCATCACAATGAAGCCCAGTTTTGCTCTCCTTCCCTGTACTCTGGTTTGAAAACCTGTCACTCTCTCTGCTGGCAAGCTAAAGCCCAAACTTTGTTCCTTTCACTATGTAATAACTTCACCCCAGAACTTTCATCCAAAGAAATGAAAGTGGCTTTTGTAGACAGAGTCAGGAGTCAGCAGGCTCCTAGAAGAGTGAGGCAGAGGTCAGGCAGCCAACTCTGAGAGAAGAGGAGGTCCTTGGCTTCAAGATGGAGAGCAATCTGGGTGTGATCCCTTGTCTAGCCCTTCAAACCCTGGCTTCTCTGGATGACGGCAGCTCCAGGGAGAGCTAATAAACAGGCCCCAACCCTGCTTTGGTTCTTCAGTAAGCAGTTGTCATTTGCCTGGGGGCTATGGCATGTTCCTGGGACACTATATTAGCAGGTTCAGGAGCCCTAGCTGTCTTGAATCCCGCAGCTGGAGGACTCCTTTCTGGATAGATGGAGACCCTGAGAGTTGTATGATTATCACATGTCAGCTAGGGACAGTGGTACTGGGCTGGGTTGCCCTTGGGTCCTGCTTCCCAGCCCTAGGGAGCTGTTGAAGCACCAGGTTGGGAGATGAGGAGGAGGCCCTCTACTTCTACCTCCTGAGGTTAATGAGGATAATAATGAGACTTTTCTCTCATTTCAAAGCTCAAGGAAAATGACAAGTCTGGGGAGAGTGGAACCTGGACACACTATTCAGCCCTGGTTCCTGTGGCAGGAAGACATGGGTGAGCAGTCCTTGGGTGGGTAGGACTTTGCCTTTTGGAGCGTGGATGTCCAGAATAAGAGGGCAGTCTTAGGAGAGAGCTCATCCTGGCTGTGGATGTAGGAGTAAATTGGGCCCATGGGCCTGGGTGCCCTTAAATGCCACCAGACAGGTCTAAATACAGAGATGAGCATTTAGAGGTCCAGGAACACGTGCACACACATGCTCACAAAAATACACACCCTCATCCACACAGGCATAAATATTCTGGCAGACAGACTCATATAGGCACACATACAGGCACACACATTCTATACAAGCACAGATGTGCACACATGGGCACACACACAGGCACATATTCCCACACACAGATGCACACCAATACAAGCAAATACACAAACACACATAGGCATACAGGAGCATGCACTTACAGACATGAAGAATCACACATGCCCAGGCACCCACTAAAGAGATACATGCACAACATAACACGTTATCTTTATATGCACAGGCTTGTACACACACTTGCAACTGCATACCTTGTTGAGGTAGGGCAGACATGGAAGTAGCATAATGATTAATTTTCCTAAAAATGCTGAGATATAAATAGTATAGTAAGAACAGGAGGAATTCCATCTTAAGACTGAGATTCCATTTTAAAAACCAGGGCATTAGGAGGTAAAACTCCTAACATATTTTATGGTAATCAGCCAATAACTGACCCTATCTTAAGGCAGGGCAGACAATCTTAAATTATATGTCCCCATTGCTTGAGGGTAACCATTATCTTGGAGAAGAACAGGATCAAGAAATTCCTTGTATTAAGTTTATCTTACAGAGTATCTACAGGACAGACTATGGATGGTGACACAATCTCTCTCACAGGAGATTGGCATCATGTAGACTATGAGACCACACATCAAGCCTATGTTCCACCCCCCTACCTTTGCCCCATTCTTGAAACCTTAAAAGACAGGATCCTATGCCTCTAAGCACGCCTCCTCTCTGAGGTTGCCTGAGCTCCCCTTTCTCTGAGTGTATATTTTTTGCTTTAGACTTCTTACTGCTCAACTTATGGCACTTTGTCAGTGTGCTTTTCCACTGGTAGTGTCTTTGTTACTTTCCTATTTCACTCTGTTTTCTAAACTTAAATACTAGTCTTCTCTCTCTCTGTTCTACTTCAGACAAGTAGGGAAGGGCTACTGAAATCTCAGATTTGGGTCTGCAAGCTCCTGTCACCTGGGTGACCCGGACAGTACTGCAGCTATATGATCATGCTCTTTAGAAGCTTGCCCAAAAATCTTTCTTTGCCCTTGGGAAGTTCTCAGAACATAATCTCACTTCATCCAGTGCTCTGAGGCTCCCCCAAATGCTGGGATGGTAGGGGCTTAGCTCCCACACTGTGCAGATTTGAGCGGACACTGGACACCAGGTGAGCCTGGCTTTAGGAGCAGATTTGCTCCATGCTGAGCAGGAGTTCAGTGAGCTTCCCTTTTCTTCTGTTCTTCCTTGCTCTCTACTGCCTCCATAGCTGCTGCCATTCACCACTACTATCACTTTAATGAATTCCTTCTTACCTACACTTGTCCGACCTGTTCGAGATTTATTTCTGGTTCGGAGTCAAGAACCCTCTCCCCATCCAGGCTGAAGTTTCACCTAGTGCGCAGGGAGAAACCCCCACAGATGCAGCTGCCTGACAACACTGTAACTCAAACATCAGCCGCCCAGACTGTTTGAAAGTATCCTGGCCAGCTGCCTTTCGTCATTGGCCCTGGGCTGCCGTCCAGGCCCTCCCCCTGCCCCGCCCCACTCCCAGTTGGTTGTATAAATCTCCCTTTGCCCCCTCCGGCACAACCTGCCTCTGACACCAGCTTTCTGCCTCTGCCCACTCCTGGCAGACCCGTCAGGACCAAAGCCTGCCAGCTAGAAGCATGGGTAAGCAGGGAAGTTTCTGACCCAACACCATGCCTGCTCATCTCCTGGCCTGCCCTACAGGAAGTGACAGAAAACCTGGGGTGGGGGGAGCTGGCTAGGGGAAGGACCCCTGGACTCTGCTCCACCGTCCCCACCCTGCTGCCACCCTTGCAGTTTTCAGCTTAGCCAAAATTTCTGGTAGAGCAAGGGAAGGAAGGCAGAGGGAGTGCTGGGAAGGGTGATCCTGGGCTCCCATCCAGCTCCCCTGCTGCAGCCTGGGGCTCGGGGGCCTCTCTGCAGCTGAGATGATACAGTGTGGGTTAGTAGGGGGAATCTCTATGTCTCTACTGTCACTGTAGGAGACAGACAATCCTGATTTCAGCCCTGGGCCAATGTCTTACTCCAGGGAGTAGGGAACTCAACATTGATTGGCCAGGCTGCTCTCTAGCTACCCCACACCACCAGTCACTCTGGGAGGGAAATCACGAAGCCCCCACTCTCTCACCAGCGGCCTGTTTCAGTGCTCCCCACCCTCTCAATGTCCAAAGTCCTCCTCTTACCCCAGCTGTGAGCTCCTGGGTGTCAGGAGGAGGCAGAGTTTATTTGGTCTGGTTGGGCACATTAAGGTCCTTGCCCTCTTGGATCTGGCTCTTTCCTGAGCTGGCAGAATGCCCAGCAGCCAGCCTGGCATGGGGAAAACTTAATGAGCTTTCTCTGGGTTCATCTTGACCCCCAGGATGTTCAGAGATTTTGCTTGAGATGCTTGAAACAAGGGAGTGTTCCTTAGAAAGAGAACTGATGCGCAAAGGAGCCTGCCTGGGCAGTATGCAGGGCCTCTAAGAAATGCCTGGGGGACGGGAGGGAGGTGGGTAGGCAGATGATGTAGGCATGCAGCTGATAACACTTCCTTTACAGCTTTATTTTTATCTCAGTCTCTGTTGGGCTTTGTAGTTCTTGTACCTGTTTTGATGTCTTCACATTTTGAGTCTCCTTTTGTTGTGTCCAACAACCTCCTTCCCCTCCCCTGGCCTCCTGTGCCAAGTCCTGACACAGCATGGGTGTGGAGCAGAACAGGTCTCCTTGATTCCTCTGGACCTGGGCCTCTCTCACCCTGCCCCACCCCAACCCCAGCCCACTCCAGACACCAAGCGTGGCTGGGACTACCCCCACACCCCACCCCTTCTGGTGTAGCCCTACCCATATTTATAAAACATGTCTCCCTATAAAACAGGAAGTACTTCTGAATACATTGTCTTATTTGACCTTCATAGCCACTCAGAGAAGAAGGTAGGATATTATTACCACCTTTCAGCAAATGAAGGGAAGAAAGTGGAGAACAGATATCAACGTGGAGCTTAAAACCAGGTTTCTGTACTGTAACATGCTGTTGCTGCCTGCCTTCTGAGTCACTTGGCTGCTTGTGAGGGGCCCTGGCTCCCTGGCTGAAGACCTGAGACACCTCTGGCTACTCCTGGCTCCCCACTTGCAGCCCCCAGCCAGCCATGTGACAGGGCAGGGATGCAGCGCCCAGTCTTGTCATCCCCGCTCCAGGACCTCTTCTAGCCTGCAGCTCCCTCTGTGCTACTCCTCAGCCTTCCTCCAGGTCACGTCCCAAACCCTGAGGCCTGACATGACTCAGCCACTTACTTTAGTCCCATAGATCCATATGGCTTCTCTTGTCAGACTTCAGGGGATAAGGAGGGACACTCCCTGTAGCTCTGATAGATGGGCCTCTGAGCTCCCCAGAGTTGGGTCAAACACCTTACTTTACAGATAAAGGAAGTAGAGCCTTCTGCCTAAAGGTAGAAACTGGTCTAAGGACATCCCCGGTATCAGCCCCATGGCCTTGAGCTTCAGCCTTTTATCTCTTACCAGACCCTCAGTGATGTAACCCAGGCTTTTACAGACTGGGGGCAAGGACCCAGAGCGGAGAAAAGCAGGAAGTGTCCTGGACGCTGGTATAGCTACTTTTCAGTGAAGGGAGCTGAATAGGCATCACCTTCGCTCTTCAAAGGCTCTTCCTCAAGAACAGCCAGGGTTACTGGCCACCTCCAGGAAAGCACAGAGCTGCACACTTGATTGTACTGCCTTGTTTACTTCTCATAGAAGCCCACTGTGGTATTCTTACTGCCTTCTTTTTACAAATGGTATGGAAATTGAGGCCAGGGAGGTGGGATAATTTGCCCAAGGACCGTTGGCTAGTCAGTGACCTGCTGGGATTGGGGCCCAAGTCAATGTCATAAACACCACAGGGCACCGTGTCTGCTGCACTCACTCTTCTCCTGCCTTCCCCTGGGTCCTGCTTGAGTGTCTTCCACCTTCGGGTCATATCTCTACAGTTCTTCCGCCATACCCACACACTTAGCAGGGCTTTGAGGGGCAGGGAGGATGGTAGGCATAGGGAGGCTGGAGATGTGACTTGGGACAATGTTTCTGCCTGGCTTGTGTGGGGGAGGGTGTTACAGTGTGTGGGGAAGAGCTTCCGCCCTCCAGAGCATGGTCCAGCCAACACGTCCCATTGTTTCCACAGCTACGAAATGTGGAAAGTGTGGACCTGGCTATGCTACCCCTCTGGAGGCCATGAAAGGTAAGTCTGAGAGCCAGCACCCTTAGGAAGAATGACTGAGAGCCAGCACCCCAGGAAGAAACTGCAAGACAGCACCTTCCACTGATGCCACTGCTGGTGGGGGTGGGAGACCTCAGATGCCGCCTCCGCCCTCAGGCACACCCAGGGCTGCCCTGCTGTTCCTCCCCACCCTGCTATCCCCTCTGACTGCTTTCTCTCCTCCAGGCCCCAGGGAGGAGATTGTCTACCTGCCCTGTATCTACCGGAACACAGGCATTGAGGCTCCAGATTACCTGGCCACTGTGGACATTGACCCCAAGTCTCCCCAGTATTGTCAGGTGAGGTGGGGCTTGGGCCCAGAGTACCCTGAGACCCCTCAGGGCTTATCTCTGGCCCAGCAATGCCCTTCCCAAACTCTGTCCTTCTTTGACTTCCCTGAGCATGACTGTACCACCCGTTCACCAAACAAGGGCCCCAAGGTCCAGGGGCAGTACTGATGCAGAGAGGTATGGCCTGAGCAAGCCCCCCAACACCTCCGCCTCCCCAGGTCATCCACCGGCTGCCCATGCCTGGCCTGAAGGACGAGCTGCACCACTCGGGCTGGAACACCTGCAGCAGCTGCTTCGGGGACAGCACCAAGTCGCGCAACAAGTTGGTGCTGCCGGCTCTCATCTCCTCCTGCATCTATGTGGTAGACGTGGGCTCTGAGCCTCGTGCCCCAAAGCTATACAAGGCATGTTCTCTGCCCTACACACCCAGAGACCCTGATGTGCCAGCTGCCCTGGGCAGCCTATGGGCAGGAAGTCACGCCTAGACCTGCTGCCTCCAGCTCTTGTGCGGGGTCTGGGCTCAGCAGTGGGGAGGCGCTAGGCTACAGAGGAGAGTTACCAAGGGCTGAGCACTCACCATCCGGCACCACGGGGCTACGGCGCCAGAGGCATGGGAGGCCTCTTCTTGTTTTTGCTCCAAGACAGGGAAGGAGCCATATTTTCTAGCCAGTTATGAGCCCAGGGTTTCCCTTAGGCAGGAGCCTCCAAACCTTCCTCTCAATACTTTGTTGCCTACAGTTTTCCTTCTTCCTGCCAGGCACTTGCTGCTGGCTGCTGGAGGTATAAAGTAGACTGTTGCTGGCATTGGCCCAGGCTGGGAGGAGTTTATGGCCTCACTGGGCTGTGAGTGTCTTCAAAAGACAGACAGGTGGAAAGAAGTCGGTGTTTTCTGCCTGGAGAGTTAGCAGTTCCCTGGCTCTCCCTTGCTGCCCTGCCAGTCTCTGCCATATCCTGCAGGGAAAATTTGTCCATGTTTTGAAGGCAAAGAGGATGGTATCAGCAGATAGAAGAGAGGGAGTATGGGAGTAGTGAGTGGGGACTCCGGGCCCTGTAAGATTCTGATGTCATTCCTTACCCTCTCCAGGTTGTTGAGTCCAAGGACATCCATACCAAGTGTGGCCTGGGCTACCTCCACACCAGCCACTGCCTGGCCAGTGGGGAGGTGATGGTCAGCACCCTGGGAGACCCTGACGGCAATGGCAAAGGTATCTGCCAGCAAGGCAGATCCCAAACTGGAGGAAGGATGGAATGACCTTCTGGGGAAGGCCAGGGGTTGGCTCTCATCCAGTATTTATAACTACAGTTTTTTCTATTATTTCTATGAAAATGAGCCTTGACTGGTGAATTCACTTAAAAGTTATAGTCAGAAAGTCAGTTGTGGATATGAGCACAGATATGGCCTCAGCAAACATACATTTAATATTAGCCTTTGCAAATTCATGAGCAAATCTCACAGTCCTTGAAATCCTTAATCTTCACATTTGCTATCTCATTTATGGTATGAGCTGACACTTCTAAAATGTCTACCATGAGCTAGACAATCTATGAGATAGATGCTACTATGATCCCTGTTTTACAGATGAGAAAGCTAGGGCATGGACTGGATAAGTAACTTACCCTAAGTCATACAGCTAATAAGCTGTTGAGCTAGAACTCAAACCCAGCAATCTGGCTGCAGAGGCTTTGTCCTGATCCCTGTGCTGCTTTTCTCAGAGCCTTACCGATTTCATCAAAGCCCTGATTCAAAGGCTTGGAGTAGGATCAGTTAAGGTCATCCAGTTAAGGTTACTGCACTAGACTCGAACTGCTTTTTTCAGGAAACAGAAGGAGTGTGACCTTCAAGATTTAATAACACTCAGGAGTGGCGATCTAGTTGTAAAGAAGTATCAGTGTCATAACATACTGAGCAAGGAGAAAACACGTTGAGCATTCATGCTGAATTACAAATAAATACAATCTGTGTACCCTCTCCCCCCCCAAATTGTAGTGAACAGAACAGAGCTTAGGCTCTGGGAGGAATCCCACACTGAGAGTGGGAGGCTGGGCAAGAGAAGCACAGGGCGCTGAGTCCCAGAAGGTCTCTGGGATCAAGGAGAGGAAAATTTCCTCTGTGGTCTGGGACAGGGATGATGATGACAGGAGGTGGGGATGCCAGAGAAAGTCCCCACCTCCTACCCCAGACCTTTTGTTATACCTGAAATTTAAGGAGCTGGCAAGTCCCATTATGGGGCGTGGGGGGGGGGCGGTGAGGGCAGGGCTGGAGCCAGGCAATGGACTTGGAGCCTCTTGGACATGCCTGGGGGTGAGGGCTGCATTGGGGTGATGTTTCTAGGGCCTCTGCCTGACACCTTACTTCATTCCCTACTCAGGGGGTTTCGTGCTGCTGGATGGAGAGACATTCGAGGTGAAGGGGACATGGGAACGGCCTGGGGGTTCTGCACCTATGGGCTATGACTTCTGGTACCAGCCACGACACAATGTCATGATCAGCACCGAATGGGCGGCTCCCAATATCTTTCAAAATGGCTTCAACCTTGCTGATGTAGAGGCTGGTGAGAATTCCCCACATGAGTCAGCAGGACCCTGGGCACATACACACTCCTATTTTTTGCTTGAAAACCCCACTGTCCAGTTCTCTTACTTCTCTCATGTAGACCCAGACTTGATTGTATAGGATATGCTGAGTGCTCTGATGTGCTCAAGGGTCCTTCTGATACCTCCAACCCGTTTTTCACATTCTGCCCTAGGCCATGCCCCAGCCTTTGCCCATGCCCTCCTGCCCTGGTCCTGAGCCCATCCTCCGGTCCCATCCCTACCCAGGGCTGTACGGAAGCCACTTACATGTCTGGGACTGGCAACGCCATGAGATGGTGCAGACCCTGACTCTACAGGATGGGCTCATCCCCCTGGAGATCCGTTTCCTGCACAACCCAGACGCCACCCAGGGCTTCGTAGGCTGTGCCCTCAGCTCCAACATCCAACGATTCTACAAGAATGAGGTGACTGCACCCTGTAGCCCTGTCCTCTCAGCAGTCCTGCCAGTGACTCTGCCCAGGCCTCTGTAGCCATGATGCTCCCTCTCCCTAGGCCCCCTCCACCTGGCTGCACCAGCCCAGACTTTGCCAGGAACAAAAAGCAAGGCCGTTTGCCCTTCCTCGCTTCTCTATTAAACTGTAACTGGCTATATTCAGTCATTAATTCAAAAATATTTGTGAGCATCTATGTTAGGCACAGTGCTAAGTGCTGAGAATACAGTGGTGAAGCAGACATAGTCCAGCCGTAAGGAGCCTGCACAGGAGTTCGACCCTAGTGGCAGGAAGCCCCTGTATCTACAGTCTCCCTGCAGACAGTACCTGGGGAGAGCCAGATCTGACTCCCACCCACTACCTCTCCCAGGCTCACGTCTCTGCCTCCTAACCCCACTCTTCACCTCCCAATGCAGGGAGGCACTTGGTCAGCGGAGAAAGTGATCCAGGTGCCCCCCAAGAAAGTGAAGGGCTGGATGCTGCCAGAAATGCCAGGTGAGTGCCCAAGGAAGGATAGGAATCAGAAGGTTCACTTCTGGCCTGGGAAGACTGAATCTTTAAAGCCTCTGAACTGCACCCACCCCAGGCCTGATCACTGACATCCTGCTGTCCCTGGATGACCGCTTCCTCTACTTCAGCAACTGGCTACACGGGGACTTGCGGCAGTATGACATCTCTGACCCACAGCGGCCCTGCCTCACAGGACAGGTGGGGCCCTAGCAATATAGAGAGAAAGGGAGGGAAGTCTGAGGATGAGGTGGAAGGAATGAAGTGGCTGTGGGATAATAAGGGAGGTGCAGGAAAAGGAAAAAGATAGGGGCTGAGGGATGGTGCAGGCCAGGACTGCGAGGAGCCACAGCTAGCCCTGCAGGGTGTGAGGGAGTGAGGGATTCTGGCAGAGGCAAGCCACTCTTCCTGAAATGTCCTCACCACCCACCGTTATCCTCCTTTACGTTCTGCCCCTCCCTATCCAGCTCTTCCTTGGGGGCAGCATTGTTAAGGGAGGCCCTGTGCAAGTGCTGGAGGACCAGGAGCTAAAATCCCAGCCAGAGCCCCTGGTGGTCAAGGTGAGATCTCTACCCATCCTGTGGCGCCCCTCTCTATCCCTCAGATCCACGCTAGAGAAGTATGGGGAGGGGGCATGCTCCATGATCCCCTCCAGGGGCCCGTGAGTTACTCTGGAATCTGACCCCTGGTTTTCCTAAGGGGAAACGGGTGGTTGGAGGCCCGCAGATGATCCAGCTTAGCCTAGACGGGAAACGTCTCTATGTCACCACATCGCTATACAGTGCCTGGGACAAGCAGTTTTACCCTGATCTCATCAGGTGAGAATCAGACGGGTTCCCTCCCCAGCTTCCTCTCCCGGAGGGCTCTGGCTTTCTGAAAACTCCCTGGGCACCCCAGCTGCACCCACCCTACAGACCCTGCTCCCTCCTTAAGGACCCACCCTTGTACTCACAAACTCTTGGGGAAAGGGGACAGCCACATCTGACCTCTCTTTCATTCCCTCCTCTTTTCCACAAGGGAAGGCTCCGTGATGCTGCAGATCAATGTAGACACAGTAAAGGGAGGACTGAAGTTGAACCCTAACTTCCTGGTGGACTTTGGGAAGGAGCCCCTCGGCCCAGCCCTGGCCCATGAGCTCCGCTACCCTGGGGGAGACTGCAGCTCCGACATCTGGCTCTGAAGCCCATCCCTCACGGCCCCACCCCTCCTTCTGAGCCATCACCTCTGCAGGGACCTGGCTTCGCTCTGCTCTCTTGGCTCCCAACTCTTGGCAACTTTGCCTTCCAAAGCCAAGTTGAGGCTGTTGAGACATATTGAGTGGCATCTCCATTTACTGACCACTGGTTGCATGTTGCTCACTGTTGTTTTTACATGAGTTCTTGGAAATTATTTCACCAAATAAACTGGTAAACTTCTTCTTCAGATCACATTGTCTTTGGGGGCACAGCACCTATGACTCACCTTCTTTTTTTTTTTGGTAAATAAACTCTTTAATATGGTATAATTTAGGAAACCATACATAGAGGAAAGTACACATGTTGAAGTGTACAGCTCAAAGAACTTCCAAGACCTGGACACATCCATGGGCTGAGTACTCACCCAAGATCCCCTGTGCCTGTGCTATGACTCACCTTCTGCTGGCCCTTTGTATCTCACAGAAGACGACTCCAGGGCATTATGGTGACTGGTTCCTACCAGTGATTACAACACAATGCTCCAAAATCTCACTCTTATGGCCAGAAAGAATTTTGGAGCTGGTTATGATAGGGAGACCTTGGAAGAGAAAATGTCATTTGATGCTCTAAACTTTTTTTTTTAATCCATGTTTTCTTTTAATGAACCTAAAATTTCACCCACCACCCCTAGGAGAATGAATGTGCCCCCTTCACACAGACCCTAACATAGATAGTGTGTTCAGTTTCCACTGCTGCAAGATCACTTGGAGAACACAGTGTTGCTAGAGGTTAGGTGTGTCACCTCCTAGAAGACAGGAAATGACGGGGCAGGAGGGCTAGGACATCAAGGTGAGAGAATACAACAGACTTGCTTCCTTACCTGGGTAGTGTTTTAGAATCTTGCCCAAATCAGACATGTCTTCTTTCTCTGTTCTAGGTCTTTAATTCTTTTTTAAAAGAAATGAGATGGAAGTTTCAGGAACCTAAGAGGCAGCAGTCAGGCAGTAAGTCTACTGACTCCTTTATTCCCTACCCAAGATAATACCAAGCAACATTCAGATATAAGCCTGCATTCTTTTCAGTCTTCCGCAAAGATTTTTTGTTTTAAACATTGGAGCAGTCTAGGGCCCCCAAGATGACCAGGCTACCCCCAGGCTGTATCACACCTTTCCCTTTAAGGTCTTAAACATCCTCCTTGAAACACCTCCTGCAGCTTCAGTCCTAATTCTCTCCCCTTGCCTTAACCAGGTTATCATATCCTTTGGAAAGCTTACTCCCCTGAACTCTCCAGATTAGGGGCCTCCTGCACTTAACCTCAGCATGAAGAAATGTCACATTATATTAGAACTCTCTGCTTATTCCCACTACCTGGCTTGGAAGTGAGCACGTAGTATGCTTTAATGAATAAATGAATATAAAGGAGGTGCTCACAATGACTGAGTTATAGGGAGCCTTGGAATTTACTGGTCTTACTTGAGGTTTCTCTCCTAGGTTTCTGACCTGTCCTTTTCAATAATCAAACTTCTTCAGAAAGAGAAAGGATCATATGGTTCTATATCATTTCTGCGTATTTTTAAAAGCTTAAAATTCCATTCAAGAAGATGACCTTCGAACACTTCTCATATCAGAAAGGAAACTAGTGAAGACTACAGGGGTTATAACTAAAGGACACATGCCTTATGTGATGAAAGACATGTACTAAAATACATGAAAAACGCTCAAAACTCCAGTAAAAAAAAGTAAACATTCCAACAGGGAAATAGGCAAAAGACATGAACAGATACTGCACCAAAGAGGACATACAGATGGCAAATAAGCACATAAAAAGATGGTCAACTTCATTAGCCATTTTTTTTGTATCATTAATATACACTTACATGAACAACATTGTGGTTACTAGATTCCCCCATCATCAAGTCCCCCCCACATACCCCATTACAGTCACTGTCCATCAGTGTGGTAAGATGCTATAGAGTCACTACTTGTCTTCTCTGCATATACTGCCTTCCCCATGCCCCTCCCCTACGTTATGTGTGCTAATCGTAATGCCCCTTTTTCCCCCTTATCCCTCCCTTCCCACCCATCCTCCCCAGTCCCTTTCCCTTTGGTAACTGTTAGTCCATTCTTGGGTTCTGCAAGTCTGCTGCTATTTTGTTCCTTCATTTTTTTCTTTGTTCTTATACTCCACAGATGAGTGAAATCATTCAATACCTGTCTTTCTCCACCTGGCTTATTTCACTGAGCATAATACCCTCTAGCTCCATCCATGTTGTTGCAAATGGTAGGATTTGTTTTCTTCTTATGGCTGAATAATATTACATTGTGTATATATACCACCTCTTCTTCATCCATTCATCTACTGATGGACACTTAGGTTGCTTCCATGTCTTAGCTATTGCAAATAATGCTGTGATAAACAGACGGGTGCATACATCTTTTTGAATAAGGGATCTAGATCTCTTTCGGTAAATTCCAGGGAGTGGAATTCCTGGGTCAAATGGTATTTCTATTTTTAGGTTTTTGAGGAACCTCCATACTGCTTTCCACAATGGTTGAACTAATTTACATTACCACCAGCAGTGTAGGAGGGTTCCACTTTCTCCACATCCTCACCAACATTTGTTGTTGTTTGTCTTTTGGATGGTGGCCATCCTGACTGGTGTGAGGTGATACCTCATTGTGGTTTTAATTTGCATTTCTCTGATGACAAGCGATGTGGAGCATCTTTTCATGTGTCTGTTGGCCATCTGAATTTCTTCTTTGGAGAACTGTCTCTTCAGCTCCTCTGCCCATTTTTTAATTGGATTATTTGCTTTTTGTTTGTTGAGGTGCATGAGCTCTTTATATATTTTGGATGTCAACCCTTTATCAGATCTGTCATTTATGAATATATTCTCCCATACTGTAGGATGTCTTTTTGTTCTATTGATGATGTCCTTTGCTGTACAAAAGCTTTTCAGCTTGATAAAGTCCCACTTGTTCATCTTTGCTTTTGTTTCCCTTGACTGGGAGGATATGTTCATGAAGAAGTTGCTCATGTTTACATCCAACAGATTTTTGCCTATGTTTTTTTCTAAGAGTTTTATGGTTTCATGACTTATATTCAGGTCTTTGATCCATTTTGAATTTACTTTTGTGTATGGGGTTACACAATAATCCAGTTTCATTCTCTTGCATATAGCTGTCCAGTTTTGCCAACACCAGTTGTTGTAGAGGCTGTCATTTCCCCATTGTATATCCATGGCTCCTTTATTGTATATTAATTGACCATATATGTTTGGATTAATATCTGGACTGTCTATTCTGTTCCACTGGTCTGTGGGTCTGTTCTTGTGCCAATACCAAATTGTCTTGATTACTGCAGCTTTGTAGTAGAGCTTGAAGTTGGGGAGCATAATCACTCCAACTTTATTCTTCCTTCACAGGATTGCTTTGACTATCTGGGGTCTTTTGTGGTTCCATATGAATTTTAGAACTATTTGTTCCAGTTTGCTGAAGAATGCTGTTGGTATTTTGATAGGGATTGCATTGAATCTGTAAATTGCTTTAGGCAGGATGGCCATTTTCACAATATTAATTCTTCCTACCAAAAAGCATGGGATGAATTTCTATTTATTAGTATCCTCTTTAATTTCTCTTAGGAGTGTCTTGTAGTTTTCAGTGAATAGGTCTTTCACTTCCTTGGTTAGGTTTATTCCTAGATATTTTATTCTTTCTGATGTATTTGTGAATGGAATTGTTTTCCTGATTTCTCTTTCTGCTAGTTCATCATTCATGTATAGGAATGTAACAGATTTCTGTGTATAAATTTGAATCCTGCAACTTTGCTGAATTCAGATATTAGGTCTAGTAGTTTTGGAGTGGATTCTTTAGGGTTTGTTATATACAATATCATGTCATCTGCAAACAGTGACAGTTTGACCTCTTCCTTACCAGTCTGGATGCCTTTTATTTCTTTGTGTTGTCTGATTGCCGTGGCTAGGACCTCCAGAACTATGTTGAATGAAAGCGGGGAGAGTGGGCATCCATGTCTTCTTTGCAACCTTAGGGGAAAAGCTTTCAGCTTCTCACTGTTAAATATGATGTTGGCTGTGGGTTTGTCATTTATGGTCTTTATTATGTTGAGATACTTGCTCTCTATATCCATTTTGTTGCGAGTTTTTATCGTGAATGGATGTTGAATTTTGTTGAATGCTTTTTCAGCATCTATGGAAATCATCATGTAGTTTTTGACCTTTTTGTTGATGTGGTGGATGATGTTGATGGATCTTCGAATGTTTTACTATCCTTGCATCCCTGGGATAAATCCCACTTGATTATGGTATATGATCTTCTTGATGTATTTTTTAATTTGGTTTGCTAATATTTTGAGTATTTTTGCATCTAGGTTTATGAGGGGTATTGGTCTGTAGTTTTCTTTTTTTATAGTGTCTTTGCCTGGTTTCGGTTTTAGAGTGATGCTGGCTTTATAAAATGAGTTTGGAAGTATTCCCTCCTTTTCTGTCTTTTGGAAAACTTTAAGGAGAATGGGTTTTATGTCTTCTCTAAATGTGATAAAATTCATCAGTGAATCCATCTGGCATGGGGGTTTTGTTCTTAGGTAGTGTTTTGATTACTGATTCAGTTTTGTTGCTGGTAATTGGTCTGTTTAGATTTTCTGTTTCTTCCTTGGTCAGTCTTGGAAGGTTGTATTTTTCTAGGAAGTTGTCCATTTCTTCTAGGTTTTCCAGCTTGTTAGCATATAGATTCTCATAGTATTCTCTGATTCTTTGTATTTCTGTGCGGTCCATCGTGATTTTTCCATTCTTGTTTCTGATTCTGTTGATGTGTGTAGATTCTTTTTTTCTCTTAATAAGTCTTGCTAGGGGATTATCTGTTTATTTTCTCAAAGAACCAGCTCTTGGTTTCATTAATTTTTTCTATTGTTTTATTCTTCTCAATTTTATTTATTTCTTCTCTGATCTTTATTATGCCCCTCCTCCTGCTCACTTTGGGCCTCATATGTTCTTCTTTTTACAGCTTCAATAATTGTGAATTTAAACTATTCATTTGGGATTGTTCTTCCTTCTTTAAATAGGCCTGGATTGCTATATACTTCCTTCTTAGAACTGCCTTCACTGCATCCCACAGAAGTTGGGGCTTTGTGCTGTTGTTTTCATTTGTCTCCATATAGTACTTGATCTGTTTTAATTTGGTCATTGATCCAGTGATTATTTAGGAGCATGTTGTTAAGCCTCCATGTGTTTG